CACTGTTCTGAAACAATGTCTTTCTTGTCAAACTCTGTAAACCAAGTAATATTTGCTGGTCATCATGGCCCTGGATTCTGAGGAAAATTCTGTCCTGCACATGATTATGGACAATTATCCTGAGGAACTTTTATAAACCCTTTCAAAAGGCACTCACTACTTTTTGTAACACTGTTTTGCTCAGCTCCCCTAATTCACTTTGAGATATAACTCAGGAATCAGTGCTGCTTCCAAAGGCATTTCAAGAATTCTCCTGGCATGCCAGCATGTTACATGTTTAATGGAGAAATAAGTAGATAAAGTTCATTAAAACACATTCAGTACTTCAGCACTATGCACGCAGATCTCACTGAACTCCATGTGAGATAAAACTAAGGTCCTGACAAGACTGCACCCTATAAAACAATAAATCAAAACATCCACCATGACTCACAGAGTGAGCGTGAGAGATCTGAGTAACTTAAAATCTCTGCTAAATCTCCCACTGGCAAGCTCAGACACCAGCATACACCTGCTTCTGGCATCTGTGCAGGATGGAACTTTGTAAGATTGCTGTTTTGAGGCTTTTTCACATTCATAAGTAGATTCCAAAGAGCAAATTCAGCTGGGAATTTAGAGCAGAAGCAAAAGTGCAGATTTAATAGGAAGAAGTTCTTTCCAGTTAATGGAAACATATTCCTCCTCTTACTGGAGTAAATTCAGAGAGGGGGGAAAAAACCTACAAAACCCAGAACATCATTCCTTCCGCAACAGCTCCTCAGCTGACTGAGAATCCACAGCGGCAGCTCCCACTCACCCTGGAGCCAGACACGGCTTCTCACGACACCTTGTGGCAGCAGAACCAGCTGACAGGGCTTTGGTCTTCAAAAAAGTAACTTAAGGTGTGAAACAATTATATTGCAGAAAATCAAACCCAAAACAAAAAGCACCACCTTATAATCAATTAATCTGAAGAATAACAACATTTTTCAAAACAGGAATATTCCCCATAAAAATAAAGATGCAAAGCATAAAATAATAGAAGCATTATTTTAAAGTAATAAAGTCAGAAAACTTTGCAAAACAATCTAATGCACTTTGAAGTGCATATGAGCTACAGATGTACAACTATAATAATAAAAATATGAATTATTAACACTTAAAATATTCTTACCTATTTCTTACCTCTAACTAGAAAATTAGAATTTTCTTTGCACCTTTTTGCTTCCAGGAAGAGACTGGTCGAGAAGAGAAAAGCTTCATTGTCCAGAAACAAAAGGCCAAGCTGACTCAATTAGGCTAATTTATTCTGATATTTATGTTGCATGCAACTGGATAAACAGCAAAATAGTGAATCTTACTTCCCATTTGTTTTCAAATTATATTTTGAGAAAATGTCTTTTAATTATACCTGAACAAACAAAACTTGTGGTTCAATACTGTTCTACTGCTAACATGTCAGTCCCAGAAGAATTAATAGATGGCCCACCTTGAAAAGGAAATCAGAGATAGCTCTAATTAAATAAATTAAGCCAAACAAAATTATTTAATATATAGTCTTTTTGTCACAAACATCCTCATAAAGGCACACAAGAAGGATGTTTTCTCAGTCATTAACTGAGTAAACACAGTTTTTTGATGGAAGGTATTTCACTTTCTCTCTATGCAATTTGGTGCTTGAAATCCTGACTCAGCCCCTCATACAGCTTCTGGAACAGTAGCAGTTTTTCCTGTCAGGGCAGAAACAACTGGCTTTGCCTAGACTTGGTTGGAGGTTAACAGAATAAAATACAAACAGGTTTTATGTAGTCAGAAATGACCACTGGAGGACAAAGAGAAAGATTCTGCAAGGAATATTCAAGCAGAATTGCAACTCTTACTGAACAGTCATGAAAGAGTTTTCAAAAGCATTTGCTGTACCATACTCAAACCAATAAAACCCTACACCAGGAATAACTCATATTTGTTCTTCAGATGTGAAAAGATAATAACCTACATTTCACTCAGGTCATGCACACTGAGATTACTGCACCTACTTGTGTGTCTTCCTTACTCTCATCTGTTACTATGCTGGGAAAAACATTAGTTCACAAAGACAGCCCTGCCAGCCCTAGGACTGAGGACACCAAGCACTCCATCCACCACAGGCTTGTCACAAACAGCATCAGCACTGTATGAATCAGACAAAATATTCCTAACATTAAAAAAAGGGCACTTTCCCATAGGAATACTCAGAAGCAACAGATAAGTCTGCAAAATCCCTGAAGAACTAATGTGACTCCAGAGAAACAAACAAGACATTTTAAGCTCTAACATCTTGTCAAGCTGCAGACATTTACTTTGTGTGCAATACACAACTTCAATTTAAAATGTTAGAGACCAAAAAACAGAATATTGCCCCAAGATTTGCTGGCACGGTTAACACAAACTACAATTTATGTGAGATAGTGAAGCATGGACTGGCCACCTGAAGCATGGATGGGGTCAAGCCCTCCTCCAGTATCATGGGTGTGCTTTGGCAAGACCCAAAGAGGTTGCTGGGAGCAGGGAGAGAAGTTACCACAGACACTGCATATGGCAATATCCAGTGGAAAAGGAAACCAAGCTAAACAGAGAAACAGCCATGGGCTACAAATCTGCAAATCCTGACCTCCATTTGCCTCCACTCTAAAAAATGGTCTACAGACTTCCTTGGATGAAAATCAGATTTTTTTTTGTCATTTCTCCAACCAAATCAAGGCCAAATCTCCACAGCATAACCGCAGCCTCCACCCCGAGTGCCACTCCCGGTGCCAGCAGTCACCACCACTGCCGGTGGCGGCATCACCACCAGAGAAGGCCATGGACACCTCACCTGCACTGCCCCTGGGGGCACCGAACTTCACCCTCCTGCTGCAGTAAACATTCACCACATCTCACCTCACCTGCTACTCCAAGCTGCAAGGAAGAGTTGGGCTTCCTATTTTTTTTTTTTTCTATAAAGAACTCAAATAGACACTCAAATGGCCTTCAGGTGGAAGCTAAAATAAACTTGGAGAATGATATTACCTCATTGAAGTAAAGCTCATCTTTGTTTCAGAGAGCAGGCTGGGAAGCAGAGTGGCAGGAAGGTCATCCTCCTAAACTGTGGAACCCTGACACAAGAACTGATCTCTCCTGCTTTCAGAAAGGTGTTTGTCAAGATCAGCAAACTTTCTTCTCATGTAACCCTCCTCTACTGGCAGGCGTGCAATATACTTTGTATCTTTGTGCAGTTACACAGTCTTAAATACCAATACCATCATTTCATGGATTCTAAAACACAGTGTTTTGAAGTCCAGGACACTTCCCCATCTCCACCAATTTTTGGATATACCACCAACATTGGTAAGGCCCTAGACTTACCTGAAAGTATCAAATACACTCAGCTAGGAGAAACATGAGAGTGCAAAGAAAAATGCACACCCTAATTTGTCTTCATTTATATGCCCTGGCATAAGGTACTTGTGATTTAGAAACTCAAATAGACAAGCTTATGAGCAGGTCAGTCCTTGTGGATAGCATTCCTTTGAGTAGGATTGTCTTTCCTCTAGAGATGAAACCTTATTCAAACCATGATTTTTAGCAGTTTTTATCAGTTTTTTCCTTCACAAGAAGCCTAATCTGACAAGATGTAGAAGATGAGGCGGTGGTGGATATTAGCTTAAATATTTTCAGTGGGGTTTTTTTTTTGTTGTTGTTGTTTTTGTTTTGTTTTGTTTTTTAAATTCTCTGTGTAGAAAGGACTGTTAACACCAACAGCTACTGTGCCTGCAACACCCTGAGCAGAGCTTGCCTGCTGCACGGGGCAGTGAAGTAACCTAACACACAGACCACCTTGGAATGAGCCTGCCCTGAGACACTGCTAACAGGATTATTGTGTCAGTCACTGAAAACAAATGTCTCTAATGCTTTTACACTCCACTGATCTTACCCTGCAATTCCCAGACTCAAATGTTATGAATCCAAACCTTATTTGCAGCCACTGCCGCCTGAGAGGTATGTAAATCAGCCCATAAGCCTGCACCAGTCTCATGGGCTGATTTCTAACTGCTCTAACTTCTAACAGCCTCCTTTCCATCAAGGCGTACCTAAGTTTCCACTCATATTCTTGGTTGCTGGGTTTTTTAATGGATACAATTTCATAAAAGTAGCTAATTATGATGAACAAGTACTTAGAAACGCTAACACAGAGCTTGAACTTTCATGAAAGTGTTTCCAGTTGTAATGAAGTAGCTTGTGCAAGAAGCATGGGAGATTCTGTCCTTCCAAGACAACCTAATCACACTGCACCAGCGTGCCAGAAAGCTGAAGAAGTCCTCAGAGAACTTTCAATTACTTGATTCAGTTCCTTTCATTAAGCACTAGGTTCTGCAGACCCAGATGCCATTTCAGTTAGGGAAGGCAACAATCAAACCATGTTCAATTTCCTCTATACTGAGCTTTTGAGATTCTAAGAGTCCAAATGACATACCAGGTGGTTTTAAATCCCATTGTGACTGGTATCTCTCAAAACAGAACATGTTACTTTAAAACATTCTTTCCAGACCCATTGCACATAAGCAGCAAGGAACACTGATTGTTGCGACAGACAATCTTATTATCATCTCCATCTCATGTGAGAATGACTTTCTGAGAGGTACTGGCAGTACTTACATTAAAGAAACAATTTTATACCTCATTTTTATAAGGAAAATCACCTTGAAAATTACTTCTTACACAGCAAAGACTTTCACATTTACTTCACTATCAAGAAACAATTTCTGTCCTGTAATCCAAAGAAATTCAAACCAGAATGAAGAGCATTAACCAAACACCTTTCAGAATCCAGGTAAGAACAGAACAAACCTGAAAATCCTGGCAAAGGGAAAGAATATTCATTCTTTCTATCTTAAAAGAGATTAAAACAAAGGATATGACCAAGAGTCTGAGTACAGGTCCTCTAGTTCACTCATTTTGTTAAAAAAAAAAAAAAAAAAAAAAAAAAAAAAAGTAACAAACCATTTTAATGTTGCAGCTTTATTTAAAAGAAAGTGACTTTAGAGTTTTTGGTAACATATTTTTTACACAAAATTGATACAACAAAAAATAAACTTCAGCAGTGTTCTAGAGCAGATTACAGGCTGTAAACTCAGAGTCAAATGTACTATATTGGAAAAGGTAATTTTGTTCAAAGCTTATTTGCAAAACAGCACCAAGTGATCCCAAAAGTCTAGTTTACTTGACATGCCAAAAACCTTAAACTCACACTTCCTAAGTAAGGAGTTGTTCAATCTCACTTGTATTTACAATAACAGTTTTTTATTTTTTAAATTTTTAATTTACAGTAACAGTCGTGATTAACTGTATGTAAGAAACACATCAAAATTTCCTACAATACCTTCAGTGACTAAAACTCAACTTTTGTACACCTTTGAAAGTTTTTAAGGAGTCATGGACAACAAGGTATTTGCACAAAATTAGGAATTTCCATTTACATAGAACTCAGAAGTCCCTGAAGAAATTTCAAAGCCCTGTAACAGTTCTTTTTGAACTATTTCATTTCAGCAAATCAATTTCCTTGATCTTGGATCACATTTTTTAAACCAATGTCTGAGGTACATCAAAATTCCAACATATCAACAAGCATTACGAATAGGATCCAGCAGGGAAAGAGAAAAACCAAAACACAAGAAGCTACATAATCCTGAAATCCTTTCACCATTCTTATCACATGCTCAGTAGAAAGCAAAACTCCTCCCAAATCTCTTTTATTTCTATTTTTAAGTTGTCTGAAATCAAGTTCTCAAATAGAAAACCTGTTTTGGGAAGAAACTATCTCATTAAAAACCAATTCCTCAAACATCCCATTTTGGGGGTAACTTGGCTTCATGCAACCCTTACAGGCACAGGGAAAATACTGTCCTCAAATATTAAGGCTGCAGAGATCTACCAGATAGGGCAAAATACTAGTACTCAAATGGTGAAATAGTAGTACTGTAATTCTTGTATTTGCTCTTCTCTGCCATGCAATCACTACTGTACTTTGTAGAAGACAAGAGAGGTCTGTTTCCTCCTCTCTGCTCATCTGCTTCTCACTTTATGATTCCTGAACTAAATCTAATTTGTTTTATTATGGCTGTTCATGTAAACGTTCTAGGAACAGAATCAGCAGAAAAGGATGCTAATCCAGCAATGCCAGAAAATCTGCAACTTAAAAGTCTTCTCTAGAAACTGACAAATCTCCTTATAAATTCCACTTCCTTTCCAGGCTCTTTGCCTTTTGCTTTCCTCTCTTAAACATCCACCAATCATCCTTTATCACTGCTCTACACCCTGTGATACCAATGTAAACAAAACCCAGTAGAATAATCAAGTTTTGCCAGAGAAAAAAAAAAGCACCATAACATAACATCTTTGCTCCTTTCAGTAAGTTATAGCAGCATTTTGAGACCAACACCTCGGCACTCTAATGCTTCAAGCCTTGCTCCCAGGTCCTCTGCAATGCTTTGGATCCTGGTATTAAAACAAAGAGGTATTGAACACAGGATGTGCTCACAGGAACGTGGATAGGAGTTTCTGTGAACTGTGTGTAACAGGCCTACTTTGTGCCTGGGGACATTTACTACGCAGATTTGGTTCTCTTGTGAGGCTGAGGAGTCACTGGCACTGAACAGTTTTGCCATAGCCACCTCTTCCAGCATCATAGTCTTGCCGATACTCATCTCGGACCTAACGAAGGGGGAAGAAAGGAAAATCCAAAAAAGACAAAGATAAACAATTTCTCAAAAACTGTTACAGCAGTAGAATACAGTCATACCGACATCACAACATGTAAGTGGCTACATGGAGCTGTCTGACCAAAGAAAAGGTAAAGTGCATCATGCAGAAGCCCAGAACAGCATCAACCAACTTCCTCTTTCATCGTGTCTGGGGACTCTCTAACCAACACAGCCCAAACAATGATCTCCAGCCTTGGGCTTTGGCAGTAGAAGCCACTGCCACCTGCTCCACTTGGGGTATGCCAACTGCTGTCCTGTGTGTTCCTGACAGCCCCTTACATTTTCTGGGCTTACTTAATAGCATTATCTCCCCAGGCAGCCAAGAGCTGTTTCTGCAAGTATTTCTAGTGAAATTTACAAAAGAGTTATTTATTCCTAGTGGATTATACTGGCATTGATCAGATGTCTTCTAGTGTTATCTTAAACAATGACGCCTAAGCTGCTACTTCTGATATTGTTCTGTGTACATTCAAAATCAAGAAGTTTGGCAAAGTCACCATTCCCTTAAAACCCCAGACTGTACAACAACCTACCTGCCCCCCTGATCGTCCACGGCCATACTGCCTGCCCTCCTTAAACCCTGCATCCCAGTCTGTCCTTATGATCCTGTCATCAAGTCTGGTCCCGTTGATGTATCGCATTGCATTTTCAGCATCTCCTCTGGCATAATACCTTACGAATATGTTAATGAAAAAAATGGACTTCGATTTTCACCACATGGGAAAATGAACAATACCAGATGGGCTACAAAACCAAGTCTTTGCTTGAACCACTTTCATGAAATTATACCACCTAAGAAAATAGTGAAAGGGTGAAACATGCAGCAATTCAAGCATTAATAAGTTTGTCAATCATGCCAACATTTAATAGAACAAAATTATATTGCCAAAGAGTGGGGAGACCCAGGCATGCTCTGTTCATGCTGCAAACTTTCACCAATCTGGTGAGTTCACTGAAAGCAGTACCAGAATGATCCTCAGAAATGTGCACATAATGAAGTCACACGACGGGGATGAAAGACGCCAATGGAAACTTTACACGTGTGTTTTTATGAAAAGAAAGACCTTTTTACCTCGGCAAGGAGAATATGAATTTAGTGCAGAGGTCAACTACCTAAAAGCTGTCTGGGTTAAAGTATCAAAGTGAAAGCAATCTGCTAAACCCACTCCACATGCAGTGTATGCTCGAATACAGAATCACGGTTGGAAAAGACCTGTAAGATCATCAAGTCCAACCGTGAGCCCAGTCGTGCTCTCTCTCGCCAGGGTCTCCCAAAGAACGCTTTAGCAAACGATTAATTTTATCCTCGGAGAACTGCCTGGTGACTCAGAGCCTGCCGTGCAGAGCAGTTCACCCACACCCTGACCGATCCCGCCGCGCTGCACAAGGATACTCCACGAAGCAGAAGCCGCAGGCGGTTTTCTTCACTTTGTCCAGCCCCATTATGACCTTCTTAATGTCTCCGCTTTTGCCGAAGAGCTCGTGGATCTGCTCCTCCGTGGTGTAGAAGGAGAGGTTCCCCACGTACAGCGTGCAGCTCTTCCTCAGCAGCCGCTCCTGATCGTAGCGCGTCCCCTGGGCCGCAAGGACACAGCGTTACCTCGCGGCGCGGCCCGGCCCGGCCGAACCGCGCGGCGCCCGCCCCCGGCCGCGGCTCACCCTGAAATGCTGGTCCCGGTACTGGCTGAGCTCGGCATAGGAGTCGCTGCGCAGGATGCTCAGCGTGCCGCCGGAGCTCATGGCGGCGCTGCCCGGCCCGGCGGTGCCCGGCCCGGGACGCACCGACGGCCCCCGCCCGGCCGCCCCCGCCGCCTGCACGCGCCCCGCGCACGCGCCCCGCGCACGCGCCCCGCGCACGCGCCCCGCGCACGCGCCCCGCGCACGCGCCCCGCGCACGCGCCCCGCGCACGCGCCCCGCGCACGCGCCCCGCGCACGCGCCCCGCGCACGCGCCCCGCGCACGCGCCCCGCGCACGCGCCCCGCGCACGCGCCCCGCGCACGCGCCCCGCGCACGCGCCCCGCGCACGCGCCCCGCGCACGCGCCCCGCGCACGCGCCCCGCGCACGCGCCCCGCGCACGCGCCCCGCGCACGCGCCCCGCGCACGCGCCCCGCGCACGCGCCCCGCGCACGCGCCCCGCGCCCGCCGGGTGCGCAGCCAATGGCGCGGCGATGCGCGGCTCTCGCGAGCGCGGCGGGGCGGGGCGCGCGGCGCCTCTCGCGAGCGCGGCGGCCATGGCGGTGCTGCGGGCGCTGCTGCTGCTGCTCTCCAGCCCGCGGCTCGTGGAGCGGCTCTCGGAGTCGCGGCCCATCCGCGCCGCCGCCCGGGTCACCGCCGGCGCCCTCACCCGCGGCCAGCGCCACCTGGCCCCGCGCCTGCTTCGCCTGCGCGACGCCTTCCTCGCCGAGCTCAAGGACGGCGCCCGCGCGCGGGGGTGGCCGTGGCCGCGCGGGCCGGGCCGCGGCGGCCGCCCCGGATCAGCGCCGTGATCGCCGCTGCGAGCGGGCGGCAGCCGCGGACAGACGAGACCCGCCGCCGCTCCCCTGCGCCGAGCGCACGGAGCGCGTTGGCACCGGCGGGTGACAGCGGAGCCCCGGCAGCCGCCCCGGACCCCGGCCGTGCCCGGGCTGTGGATGGCGAGCTGCGGACTGGACGGTGCGTTCCTCATCGCGCGGCCTGGAGCGACTCCTCGGGAAAGCATGAACACGGGAAGCTGCTCCTCGTCGGTTTCATGGATTTCCATTTCAAAGACAGTATACACGTCCCACGGTTCTCAGGAACAAACAGACTTACTTTATAATCACCCACAATGCTGTGAAGATTGTCACTTTAAGCGCTTGATAAGAAACTTAAAATAAAATCACAATTCTCAGAGGAGTACCTGTAACAATGTCTGTTTCTACTGGAGTAATACTCTATATTTGACACAGTTTTGTTACAAAAAGGGTTTTAAGTGATGATGATGGACAGGATAACAGACATCTTACAGGAAGGTATAAGAGATTCAGTAGCTATCCTAAAAGCACACCTCAAGTCTATTGTAGGTTTACAGAGAAAAAAAATGACCAATAGAGCCATTCTACGTATAAATGAAAATACAGATACATAATGGAAAATTATACATCCATCACATATAATACCTGGGGCAGGTTTGCTTAGGACACTGTATCTGATAACATCTATGACACTACAGCAGTTAACCTTCCTTCAGAGCATGTTTCACTGTTTGATCCAGCTAAGCAGAGGCTCAGTTAACTGGAGAGGGTAATTTCCACTCCTTTTATAATCTCAGGTGAGAAGAACCTTGTACTTTGATAGTTTTCTGCATTGCTGGTAAAATTAAACCTCCAGCATGGATGGAGAAACTGCATCTACAGTGTAAATTCAAAGGTTTGGCTGGCAAGACAGAAGCAGTATATTGTTAATCTGAGCTGGTATTTGTAGTCCAGGTTCTGTTGCTGGCTCTCTGCAGGTTACCTGTGCAGTGGTAGAGAAGTAATCATCCCATGGGAATGGTGCTCCATTACATCCCCCAAGAGTTTCAAGATGTACCCCACTCAGACTGCCAGAATTTGTAAATTTTATGAAGATATTGTTCAAGATTTAAGTTGTTTAAGAGAGCTGAAAATGGGAAGCAGGACATGGAGTACCTGCTGTGGCACACAGTTGTGTTGTCTCAGTGTAAGAGAGCAAAAAGAAAACTAACTTGGAAAATACATTTGCTGACACAATGCTTTCACAAGTACTTACACTACTTTGTGAGTCACCAGTACAAAGACAGACACCTTCTCTCCCCCTGCCTGCCCCCACATACACACCTTTAACTTACAGGCAGGCAGCAGTGAAGAGTGAAGGATGCAGGATGAACATACAGGCAACACAAGACAAAATGTTTTACAAGAGAACAAGAGCCATGTTCCCTAAATATCTAGGTCATACCTATAGCTTGCAAAATACAGACAAATCATTCATATATTCATTTTTCCTAGATTCTCCTTAGAGCCTGGCATCAACCTGTATTATTCTTGTCTCTGTTGAAAACCTGTCTCTTAAGACCTTATGTAAGGTTGTGTGGGTGAAGAACTGCCAGAAGCATTACCACCTTTGTGAGCAGAAATAATTCAAGTGTCAGATTTGGTTCAGAAAGAGAGAGGCTTGATCTACAACGTGTGTGCCAAGTCAGGATGTTTTGGATCCAGAAGTTCACTTAGGCAAAACCAAATACTGTAGGTCATGCTGTGCTATTGAGCGTATACATCATTGTCAGCTGAAGCCCAGTTGTTGGTGTCCAGTTTAAAAAGGGACTGCTCTCCAGTGGAAAGCCAGGATAGCAGCTGTCATTGCCACTGAGCTGAGTTAATGGGAGCAGTCAGTGCACGGGGAGGGGGCGCAGCGGATGCGGCTCCTCCCTCGGGGCTGCCTTCCCTCCACAGCAGCAGAACGGGGGCATCTCTGAGCTGTGCCGAGCCCGTTCAGAAATGCATCTGGTCCAACGGCACGGAGGATCAAATCCCTCCCAGTTCCCCGCTTTCTGTCCGCGCAGCTCCGCGATCCAGCTCCCGCAGGACCTGCCGCACTCTGCCGGGGCGACAGTCGTGACAGAGCAGCGACGGCTGCGGGAGCGCGGCGGGAGCGCGCAAGGGAAGGCGCGCCCGAGCTGCAGCCCCGGAGCACCGCCCGCGCTTAATGCCACCTCGGTGCTGCCCTCCCGAGCTGCACGGGCGGTACGTGGGTAGCACGTTCTCGAGGATGGAACTGTGGCAAGGAAGGCTAAACACGCAAAGCTTGGATTTTAGGATTTAGCACAAGTATTTAGACTGAAGCATCCTCCATGTTCTAAATCAGATTCTGCCAGATCAGTGCTGGGGATTTTTCAAGACAGACCCGCCCCAAGGCAGTGGTGACTGCAGTCTGGTCTAATGAATTTTTAAGAACATAAAAGATTACTGAGTCAGATCAGCTTTTATCTAACATGTAACCTCTCTCCAGCAGCTGAATTAATGCCTATTATCAGTAAACACCCCACAGTCCCAAAACCCTGCCGGATTATTAGAGCTTTCAAAAATAAACCTCACATGGAAATAGCTAAGCTTCAATCACAGTTTTGGTGGGCTCTGAATTCATCCTCTCTCATCAGAAGAATTACAAAAGTTCATATGAAATACCACAGGGTTGAGTAAGTCAAATTTTAAGCAGATTCTGTCCAGAACTGGCCACCCTAAGAGTGTGAGGAATGGGAATAAAGAGGTGTGGGAGAGCTCCCAGTGCCACTGCTGATGCTGAATGGGGAGTGTATGAAAGAGGAAGGTCTCACACCACCATCAGACAGCTCCCAAATGAAGTAAAGGACTAAAACTTTGTTCTCCTAAAATCTAAAGGCTCTGATGATCTCTGTTTAGCTCAAGGATGTAAAGTCCTAACTGACTTCTCCAATTTCCACTGGCTAGGACAGGTATTTGTGGTGGGTCTTCCATTGATAAGTGAGGAAATATCAAAGTCTCGTTCTTGAATGAGACACCACATTTTGTAATTGCAGCTCTGACAGTACCAGGGATTATAATAAAGATGTGGCAGTCACTGCAGGTAAAATTGCTTGCTCGCTGCTGTACTGTCTGGCAGAGGACTTCTTCTCCAGCCCCAGCCATGTCAATGACTTCCACGTGCACATCTGTCTTCTTGATATTGAGCAGAGACCTTGGAGGCATGTAGGTGTGTGCAAAGAGCAGAGTGTAGTGCCGCGGATGGCTTGAGGATGCTGGAGAATGGATGAGCTGCTCCAAGTGAAACAAACAGGGAATGAGCCCTCCCTGGTGCAAGCACCCGAACATTAGTGCCCCCAGAAGGTTGAACAGAACAACGAGGAGTTTCCATTTCACAGCTCTGTTTGGTGACGCGCTGAACAGGACCAACGGCAGAATGAGAGGGATGAGAAACCGAGGCTCCTGGTGACTGAACAGGGACAGAAATGCCAAAGGAACAAAATAAAACAGCAGCAACGTTGGACTGCCCTCAGAATGCACCAGGAACCCAGGCAGCCCATGGCAACACCATCTGACCAGCATTAACTGGTGGACATATTTCTTTAGCATTTTAAAGCCAGCACCGATGGCCAGAATGTGTAAGATACCAAACAGCATTACTCCATTGACTGTAAAATGTGTAACTCGTGGGTGACTTCCATGTAGTGCAAGATTATGAGGATTAAGATTATAGCTGAGAAAATTGAAGGGGGTTACTACCATTTTGTCATGTAGTTCAACGATTATCTCAATTAGGCTGCTCTTGTTAGTGCTGTAGAGGTTGTCTAAGCTCACGGAGGTAAAATAGAAGGTGTCAGCAGTTATGAAAACAAAAGCAGTAAAACATGCACATAGGATAAACTTCAAGAAGTGGTTTATGAGAGTTTTAATGCTCTTTTGAGAGTCAACAATTAAACCAACCCAGTAAAGCAGGGGCATTAGAGCAAATGCCAGAAAGGTTGGCCTGTTGAAAAACCCAGCAGTTGTTATGACACCTATGAGAGAGCTGCTTGTAGGCTCTGCTGAGCAGCCACTGGACTTCCTTGAAGAAACCAGTACCATGAGAAGAGCAAAGAGAAGTCCTTCGAGTGTGTTGGTAAATGTTCTTGTATAAAACACCAGCGTGACATAGGATCCAGCAAGAAGCACCAGCGCTTTCCACGGATCCGCTCCCCAGAAAGGGGCCAATCGATAAACACTATAGTCGAGTATGAAAGAAAATATTGTAAAGAGCAGGCGAGGAGATACAAGGAGAGTGTAGCTGTTGATGCAACTTGAACATATGTCCAACTGCTGCAAAGACTTGATCACCCAGTACATAACTCCTGATGTCATTAATGGGAAAACAACTGTTCTGCAAGGAGAGTTGGTAAGGAACTCCCATGGATAATAGACCTGTAGATTTAAAATATCTCCTACAGAGGAAGAGAAAAATACATATAGATAATAAAAAATACATATAGATAATATATTTTATTCAAAAATTCAGCATTAGGGATACTACTTGGTATAAGAGGTATCACAATACAGAGCAGCTCCTAAACTTTTGAAACTGGTGTCAATCTTGACATTTTTAGGAGCGTACCATTCATTTTTACAAAACATCGAGAAGCCTTTCACAGTAATGTGGCTCGCTGTGACAGAACAGAGCAGGAACCCACCCGCCCGGCCAGCCCTGCGGATCCTCTCCGCGCGGCTTGCGGGACTCGCCGTGCGCCAGGGCGGGATCTCGGGAACACCCGCCTGGCCGCGCTGCGGGACGCGCCGCCCGCGCCGCTTCGAGCCCGCGCGGGACCGCCCCGTCCCGGGCGCACGCCTTACCTGCCATGACCTCGGGCGCCTGGAAGAACTCGTCGGGGTGCAGGTACCCGCTCTGCGGCAGGAGGCACCAGCCCGCCCGCAGCGCCGCCAGCAGCACCCACAGCGCCCGCGCCACCATGGCGACCGCGGCCCCTCACAGCGCACCGCCAGGGGGCGCGCGGCGCACGGACGAGGCGCCGCAGCAGGAGCCCGGCGCGCATGCGCAGCACCCCCCCACCCCCCCCCCCCCGCCGGCTGAAAGTGACGGGATCCCGGGATCAGCGAGGCTGGGAAGGGCCCGGGATCACCGACCCAGCACCGCCGTGTGAGCCGCACCACGGCCAGTCCTCCCTTAAATACCTCCCGGGCCATCCATTCCAGTGTCAGTCACCCTTTCTGTGAACTCCTCCTGATGTCCATCCTGAACTCCCCCGGCACAGTTTGTGTCTCAGTTCTGTGAATATGTTCTCTCGGCCTGTCACGGAAGGGAGAAGAGCCCGACCCCCACCAGGCTGCTCCCTCCCATCAGGGAGTTGTAGAGTGGGATAAAGTCACCCT